TCTTTTGTCCAAGAAGGGTGGGAAGAAATGGAGGCAGGAAAAGGGATTAAAAAAGAGATTAAAAAAGAATTAAGATGATATATATCAACTAGCTCCCCATGACAACTGTCATTATATATTGCAACAATGTACCAATAAAAGTAACTTTTTAAAAAGATGTGAAGTCCAGTGTCCCACTGAAAGCAGCCACTAGATGAGTTGATATTTTTTTTGTAATTTATGTAATCTTATAACTTGCATCCAAGATCCCTTAAGTTTAACAGACATTACCTGACATGTTTAAGCATTTGTAAAATGAGAATTTGTTCTTTTAGTCAACTAACTTGGCAGCTGTAAGTTTTCCTTACCTTTTTAACCATTTAATCAGAAAGAGAAAAAATTCTAACACCGTAAGTTTTAATTTTGTTGCCTGTTTTCCTTACCATTTCTAGTATTGCCAATAGTAAATGTGAAGTCATATGATATATAACCAGAAACACAACCAAGGATGTCCAAGTCACTGTTGCCACTTTTGCTTGTTCGCGGTACCAGGGATTGAACTCAGGCCCTTGCGCCAAACACTTATTCTACTGAGCTATCTCCCTGGCCCTAATGCCACTCTTTAATGAAAACAAAATAGAAGAACTTTTGCTACAAAGTTCAGTGGAATGTATAATTGTTACTTGGTGTGCCCAAGGGAATTGGCTCCAGGACCCCCTCATCTATCTTAAAATTTGCAGGTGCTCAAGTCTCTTACACATAAAATGACACAGCACTAAATTTGCATATAACCTAAGCTACTCTCCCATATAACATTTAATCATCTCCAAGTTATTTATAATATTTAATGGAATGTAAATGCTATGTAAATAGTTGCTATACTATACTATTCAGGAAATAATAAGAAAAAGAGCCTGTACATGCTTAATATAATGTAATTTTTTTCCAGAAATATTTTTGATCCATAGTTGGTTGAATCTGTGGATGCAGAATCTGTGAATATGGAGAGCTGACTACACAAGTAAAACAGAAAAATGAGATACAGTAGGAACAAGTCTCTAAAGTATGAATCCAAAATCTGAAATATAAGTTCTGCTTTTATGATTAAGTATCTACATGACCTGAAAGATACTCAGTTCACAAATTTAATTCTTTCCACAATTTTGGTCACAAACCAAATTGGACAAGAACCAAATCAGATTCAATGGCTCACTTCAATGTTGACCTTATGGGGAAATTTGAGTCAGTTCTCATCCACTATGGTTTACAACCAGAATTGTGGAAAGAATGATGTTCGTGAACAAAGACTGTAATAGGCTGGGCTCATGATCTCCAATATTCTAGAATGTTGTTCAATAAAAATACATATAAATATTAAATATTCCTATTTACTTTCTCACTTGCCATTTAATATGTCTAGTACTACATTAACAAGAAATTTATCTGATATTTTGGTGTTCTTGCTAAAATCTTTCTGATGGTGGAAAGAAGTGTAGTACTGTTTTTTGACACTAAACATAAATTTGCTACGTGTACTGCTTTTGTTACTGTATCATAAATTACATTAGATATTTGTTTACTTACAAATCTGAAGTACACGTTGAAAACAAGCCTATCCCATCAACCTACCATTTTACTAATACAAAATTCACAATATGCAACTTTACTGTTATAAGAAATTAACCATTGGGCTGGTGAGATGGCTCAGTAATCTAAAGCACCTACTGAGAACAAGCTTAGCAAAGCACAGGGACCGCGGTTCAATCCCCCAGCACCACATGCCAGACAGCCCCGCCCCCTGGTGGGCTGAGCTGGCCACACACACACACACACACACACACACACACACGTAAATAAATAAAAAAAAATTTTAAAAAAAGAAAAGAAAGAAATTAACCAGCAAATAGCTGAACTATTCAGGGCACAATGTATACTATAAAAAAGATTCTAACCAATTCAATTACTTCTAATCTTGTATAACAGTCTGTGTATATGTTAGTTTACATTTGGTTCTTCAACTATGAACCGATAATTCCCAGTATATATCTGAATGTTATCATTAGACTTACCACAATGGTTTATATATCAGAATGAGAGAACAGTGAAGATTAACTTGTATTTTACCTTTTTTCTGGATCCTTTTGAAGGCACAATGAAATCATTTTTCTAAATGACTTTCCATATTTTTTAAGCATTTCTTTATCTTGAACACCAGTTTCCAAAGAAGGAGGATCATTCTGCAGTGTCAGCATTAAAACCTGTAAGAATTTTCAGTAGTGTATAAACTTCTGATGATTCAATAAAGCTTAACTATTGTGGTCAGGGTTGGGAATATGGCTCAGTAGCACAAGCACCTGCCCCGCAAGCACAAAGTCTTAAATTTGATTCCCAGTACCAAAAAAGAAAAAAGGCCAAGCAGATAGCTCAGTGGCATAAGTGCTGGCCTGGCAAGCACAAGGTCCTGTGTTGGATCCCCAGTACAAAAAAGAAAAAAGTTAACTACTGCAATCAACATTTTTCAATACAGCAAACAACCCGCTGCCCCAACATACAAATACATTTTACTTCCTAAATGTCCACATCTAGATCAATGATTTAGAACCCAGAGTTATTTATCTACCATCCACCTGAATAATATGCTTTAGAAAGTTGGTTTCCCAAAACACTTGTCTACAAGATTCCTTATATAATACTGCCGTATCCTTTAATTAGAACCCATTGTATCTTCATGTCCCCTAGCCTTAATTAGATTCTTAAACAATCAAATTATGGTTTTTTTGGTTTTTTTGGTAGTACTGGGGATTGAACTCAGGACCTTGAGCTTGCAAGGCAGGCAATTATTCTACCAAGCTATCTCTCCAGGCCCCATATTATCTTTTAAGAAAACACTAAAGCCACAGCAAAACTAAGAGTATCATGTTGCTAACTCTACCTATCTACAGTTCTGTTTTTCCTTGACATCTCATAATGTGGCCTTCTATTCCAGAACTCAAAAATTTCATTACAGAAATCACCAAGAATAGGACCAGCCAAAAGGTCAGCAGCCTAAGTGTCTGGCTGGCAAGGGCAAGGTCCTGGGTTCAATCTCCAGCACCAAAAAAAAAAAAAAATCACCAAGCATGTCCTACTTAACAAAGCTACTGACTTTTCTGGTCCACATTTTTGCAATCTCTCTTGCAGCAACTGACAATCGTGGTTAGCGTGTCCAGGCTACATCTCTTCTTTCTTTGATTTTCATGGCAATATATATGAGTTTGATGCATAGACATAAGGAATGAAGGTCATACTTGCAAGATATGATGTAGGTTATTTGTACTTTCCATATAGCTTGACTTTTTAACAGAAAAGCATATGCCATTTTTTTTGGTTTTTGGGGTTTTTTGTTTTTTATTTCTTCCTTTTTGCGGAACCGGGGATTGAACCCAGGCCCTTGCACTTGCCAGGCAAGCACTTATTCTACTGAGCTATCTCCCTGACCCTCCCCTTTTTTCTGGTACCAGGAATTGAATTCAGGAACTTGCTCTTGTAAAACAAGTACTTATGCCACTGAGCTATCTTCCCCAGCCTCATTTTTGTAAATATAAAATTAAGAATAAAAATAAAAGGGGGGCCATAATTAGTGTTATTCTTGATCTTGTGATTAAATATACATTTACAAAAACTAAATAATGCTTCAAATATCTTTCATTTTAAGCAAATAAGTTGGGGGCTGGGGAGATGGCTCAGTGGAATAAGCACTTCCCTAGCAAGTGCAAGGGTCTGAGTTCAATCCCCACTTCTGCCAAAAAAAAAAAAAAAAAAAAAGTTAATGTATATATCTGTCTACAATTATGAGAATGGATGAAACGTAAATATCCTTCACTACTCACTGCAACCTTTTAAAAAATAAACCATCTGAGGGTCTAAAAAACAGCCACCCACCTTGCAGCTCTAAAAACACCTTCTCTTCAAATCCTGGTAAATATTCACTTACTCCTAAAAGCCTTAAGCCTGTAGATGAAGGCCAGTCTTAAAATATAACAAAAGTTCAAGATTATCAAAATTATCATCAAATATGCAGGTCAGTGGGTATGTTTTGAATATGGAGATATACAGAAGTTTTTCATGATATTTGTTTACTGGTTTTGTCCCTCTCTACATTGTTAGAACCTTAAGAGGACAGAATTACATCATTTCTTAAGATGATACAGATGCAATTACCTAAGTAACCATTTACAATAATGATGGTCATCATTTTAAACAAAATAATGGGGACTCTGGTGAAGTGAGAATCAAAGGAAAACAAGTACAGCTACAAACGGAAAAGAATTCCTGTACATATTATAACTCTTTTTGTCACTAAACTAGCAGGATCATCAACCACAATTCAAGTAACTACTAAATTATACAATAACAGTCCACTTAATAAAAGTTGTTTAGTGTTCTACCACAAAGCAAAATTTGTTTTTATTTTTAGTCAATAAGTAATGAGAACAAAAAACACATCTGGCCCATGAACACTGTGCATGAATTATATATTATATGAAAATTAAAACAGTGCTTAACAGGTTTTTGAACCTAGCAGTTAATTGGTAGGATTCTCATCCTGACTAACTATATATGCTGATACCTGTGAACTAAGCAACTGCACTGAACACAGCAATGTGTAATACAAGAGTCATGCTTGGAATGCCTGTCATTCTGGTCTTCTAAATATGTACTGCTTGTCATGTCATAACAATTACTGCCATACTATCTCTCAAGTAAATGTTTGTTTTTTTAAAAAAAAAGGGTAGGAGCCGGGGAGATAGTTCAGTAGAATAAGTACTTGCCCGGCAAGCACAAAGGCCTGAGTTTAATCCCTGGTTCCACAAAAAAAAAAAAAAAAAAAAAGGGTAATAAATGAAAACAGGAGACAAGAAAAAAAAAACATGTTAAAGGACTGTCCTCCTACAATGCTGCATATGGTTCAATTTCTAAGTTTCTGTGTAAAAATATGTAATTGTTTGTTCCTATTTTTTAAATATATTTTTAATCTTTTTTTCTTTCCTTTCTTCACATTCTGTAGGGATATAAAGTTTAACATATCAATACTTGATAGAAGGGGCCAAGGAGATGGCTCAGTAGAATAAGTACTTGCCTAGCAAGCGCAAGGGCCTGAGTTCATTCCCTGGTTCCATCAAAACAACAACAAAAAAAAAAAGAAAAAAGAAAAAAAATACTTGATGGAAAATACCTGTTCCATATTATGTCTAAGATGTTTGATATTCAGACAGTGAGGTTAAGCTCAACTGCCTATGTTATAGGGTAATAATATCATTAAGCTTCTCTTCTGGAGAGTTAAATTAAGTTTGTAGACCAAAAATTACAGAAAAAGAAGGGCTGCAAAGACAGCCCTAGCCTTTCAAGGTCAGTGAGGACTCAGGACATAAAAGAACCTGTACTGTAACATTCTGTAACTCAGTGACATCCCAAATATTCTCATCAAGGAGATTATGGGGCCACAGAGGAAAGTGATCGATGATGTAGACTGTGCCTAAAGAGAGTCACATGGGGAGAAAACATTTTCTCAGGCTTTCACAGAGAGCAAACTGGTCAAGCAATGGCCGTGACTCATCCACATGAGTGACACTGACAAAAGATCTACAAGGTGTTATACATGGTTTCCTGGCAAATCCTAAGGAGATTTGACTGACCTCATCAGAAGTCTTGCTTTATCTTGGTCAATCATCTAGCAGAAAATTATAAAAATGAGGTATAAAAAGTAAAGCCATATTAATATGCTGGGCCAGGGAAATGGCTCAGTTGATAAGTGCTTGCCTGGCAAGCACAAGGGCCTGAGTTCAATCTTTGGTTCCATTAAAAAAAAAAAAAAAAGAAAGAAAGAAAACATGTTAATATGCTGAGCTGTAAAAGGCTCAAGTCAACAACTTCTGACACTGCCAGACCTACGGATAACCCACTATTATTATGGATTACTGGACTATACTGGATTATTTTGCTGAATTCATGCAGCTACAATATTTAAATGCAATAGAACACCCATCTCTGACAAAACTAAACAAAAAAAGGGGATACAAATAAAGGGCCACCAGGGAGATGGCTCAGTGGAATAAGCGCTTTCCTGGCAAGCACAAGGGCTTGAGTTCAATCCCCAGTTCCGAAAAAAAAAAAAAAAAAAAAAAACCAAATGAAGGGCCACTTTGTATCTGTATATACAGAATAGAATAGATATACAGCTACTTTCTCTTAATGCAATGAGATGAAAGATTTATACTAATAGTGTTTGGACAGGATATCATGTCTGGATCTTGTACTATGAATAACCACTACGAAGACAACAATATGCAATGTATTAATTATAGAAACTATTCTACTAATCGGTTTTGAAACTGTCTCATTGCTATTTCTCAATAAATTAATAAGATAAATAAAATAGTGCTTGACACAGATTAAGTGCTTAACAAATGCTGAATATAATATGTAATCCTTTCAACCTTATAAATAAACCAAATAAAACTGCTCTGCTTTACAGAGCAAAGGCGAAAAACTCATTAAAGAGAGATGCTGGTCCATAATCTTACTAATCTAAGAACAGAGTCAGAAGATGTTGAGACACAACATATATAGAATAACACAACTTATTCTACAAAGTCATGTAATACTAAGCACCAAATACCTAATTTGAATTTAACTGCCACAGTAGTCTGAAGAAACACGGTGAAGAACACTACAGGTAAGAAATAATTCATGAAAGACAGTGGACTAGAAAGTACCAGTTTCTCTCCCTCACCTAGACAGCTACATGACCAGAATCTACTGGGTAACAACTTTGGAACTATAGAGTATATGGAAGGCTTACAACTTCAAGGAAAGGCTTGGAGAATAAACTAGTTAATTTTTTCTTAGCTCTGAAGCAGCTACCCATCCTCCACCCCAAACCCAGATTAGGAGTTGTACACATACATATTGCAAGAGCAACCCACCACCTGGCTGCCAGGAGTCAAGTTAAGAAAAAGACCTTATTTTTTCAATACTGGAGACTGGTACGCTCATTTTGCTGACTTCTGATCACTGAGGTACAGAAAGAGATCAGCGGCTAATAGTACCAGCCTCTCTCCCTCTTAGTTATCACAATTTTTGCTTTTGTCCTTCTTGGAGCCAAAAGTTAAAAGAACGGGGAGTGCAGGGACTGGGGTTTGATCCCCAGCACCACAAGCCACACCTGTCTCAGCAGGACACTGAGATGGGTGTGGTGGTGTACACTGGGGGAAGCTTA